GAAGTTTAACGGATGCAATCGGCGATACCCAAATTCCAAGAAGACCTCGAGTCAACAAACACTTAACCTAAAAGCACCACACTGAAATTCCGTTTCTGTACATGACACCAGATATAACTACTAGCTAGGAAATGTGTACAAAACACTGAGACACTTAAGATAGCACGATAAAAAAAATGCATGGCAAAAGGAGGCATTGGAATTGTAAATTTGAAAAATAATACAAGCGTTAGCAAAACGTTACTAGGCTGAAATAAGTCGCCGAAACAATGAAAAATCAAGATTTATTGTTTGTTTCATTTGTAGCTACCGTCAGAGATGGTAGCATGATTTATTTTGCATGGTAGTTAATGCTTCGTGTTCGAACACGATGACTACCTTTAACTAGTCAACTATTACGCCCAACTATTGCTATTCATCGATCTGTGTTTTTGTTCTACGTTTGATCGTTTCGAGTTCCCCTTGTCCTTGTCAGTACACTGGTGATTAACAATACATAATTATGTTCTATAGATCAATATAATCGCATGAAGTTGGGCATGACATTGGGTTAGTTTTTTAAGCACGACATATATCATTTCGAAATTCGCAGAGCAAGTAAAGCCGTGCAGTTTTGGTAATTCAGACCATTCGTTGTATTATTGACGGACACACCGATATTCCGACGGGGAGTCCATTACTAATATGTCATTAATCAATGCTTGGAGACAGGGAACAAGTCGCCTCGCAAACCCAGATGAAGCTGCGTTTTAAATAGGAAACCGCAGAAAAATGTCCTCTGTTTATGATATTACTCATGACAAATGAGGCAGTACTTGAAGGCCTCTGAAGCAGATCGAACTTCTACTGTCCATACATACGAATCTCTGCCAATTCCCATCACAGCGTAATGAGAGCTGAAGTCAAATAGAAGGGGTCTCTTTACTCGGCTTGGTGGGAACTCCGTCACCGGGACGCGTTTGTTCAGGGATGAATCAATTGTACAAACAGTGAAGCATCAGGCATGGAGGTCAGAATGTAGGGGGTGGTGGGGGTGAGGTCAGAGGAGGCATTACACGATGGGAGTGGGGAAAAAAGCATTCCATGTTTAGGGTTTGTTTGTTTAATGTTTAATGCCGCACTCAGCAATCTACATGGTGAGGATGGTTGGGGCACTGGAGGAATCACATGGTGGATGGGGGATGGGGCAGGGGAGGCACTACATGGTGAGGTGGGGGTTGGGGCAGGGGAGGCACTACATGGTTAGGGTGGGGGTTGGGGCAGGGGAGGCACTACATGGTGAGGGTGGGGGTTGGGGCAGGGGAGGCATTACATTGTGCAGGTGAGGGTTGGGGCAGGGGAGGCATTACATGGTGGGGGTGGGGTTGGGGCAGGGGAGGCATTACATGGTGGGTGGGGGTTGGGGCAGGGTAGGCATTACATGGTGGGGTTGGGGGTTGGGGCAGGGGAGGCATTACATGGTGGGGTTGGGGTAGGGGCAGGGGAGGCATTACATGGTGGGTGGGGGTTGGGGCAGGGTAGGCATTACATGGTGGGGGTGGGGGTTGGGGCAGGGGAGGCATTACATGGTGGGGTTGGGGTTGGGGAAGGGGAGGCATTACATGGTGGGGTTGGGGTTGGGGCAGGGGAGGCACTACATGGTGGGGGTTGGGGTTGGGGCAGGGGAGGCACTACATGGTGAGGGTGGGGGTTTGGGCAGGGTAGGCATTACATGATGGGGGTGGGGTTGGGGCAGGGGAGGCATTACATGGTGGATGGGGGTTGGGGCAGGGGCGGCATTACATGGTGGGGTTGGGGGTTGGGGCAGGGGAGGCATTACATGGTGGGTGGGGGTTGGGGCAGGGGAGGCATTACATGGTGGGAGTGGGGAAAAAAGCATTCCATGTTTGGGGTTTGTTTGTTTAATGTGTAATGCCGCACTCAGCAATCTACATGGTGAGGATGGTTGGGGCATTGGAGGAATCACATGGTGGATGGGGGATGGGGCAGGGGAGGCACTACATGGTGAGGTGGCGGTTGGGGCAGGGGAGGCACTACATGGTTAGGGTGGGGGTTGGGGCAGGGGAGGCACTACATGGTGAGGGTGGGGGTTGGGGCAGTGGAGGCATTACATGGTGGGGTGGGGGTTTGGGCAGGGGAGGCATAACATGGTGAAGGTGGGGGTTGGGGCAGGGGAGGCACTACATGGTGAGGGTGGGGGTTGGGGCAGGGGAGGCACTACATGGTGAGGGTGGGGGTTGGGGCAGGGGAGGCATTGCATTGAGCAGGTGGGGGTTGGGGCAGGGGAGGCATTACATGGTGGGTGGGGGTTGGGGCAGGGGAGGCATTACATGGTGGGAGTGGGGAAAAAAGCATTCCATGTTTGGGGTTTGTTTGTTTAATGTGTAATGCCGCACTCAGCAATCTACATGGTGAGGATGGTTGGGGCATTGGAGGAATCACATGGTGGATGGGGGATGGGGCAGGGGAGGCACTACATGGTGAGGTGGCGGTTGGGGCAGGGGAGGCACTACATGGTGAGGGTGGGGGTTGGGGCAGTGGAGGCATTACAAGGTGGGGTGGGGGTTGGGGCAGGGGAGGCATAACATGGTGAAGGTGGGGGTTGGGGCAGGGGAGGCACTACATGGTGAGGGTGGGGGTTGGGGCAGGGGAGGCACTACATGGTGAGGGTGGGGGTTGGGGCAGGGGAGGCATTGCATTGAGCAGGTGGGGGTTGGGGCAGGGGAGGCATTACATGGTGGGTGGGGGTTGGGGCAGGGGAGGCATTACATGGTGGGAGTGGGGAAAAAAGCATTCCATGTTTGGGGTTTGTTTGTTTAATGTGTAATGCCGCACTCAGCAATCTACATGGTGAGGATGGTTGGGGCATTGGAGGAATCACATGGTGGATGGGGGATGGGGCAGGGGAGGCACTACATGGTGAGGTGGGGGTTGGGGCAGGGGAGGCACTACATGGTTAGGGTGGGGGTTGGGGCAGGGGAGGCACTACATAGTGAGGGTGGGGGTTGGGGCAGTGGAGGCATTACATGGTGGGGTGGGGGTTGGGGCAGGGGAGGCATAACATGGTGAAGGTGGGGGTTGGGGCAGGGGAGGCACTACATGGTGAGGGTGGGGGTTGGGGCAGGGGAGGCACTACATGGTGAGGGTGGGGGTTGGGGCAGGGGAGGCATTGCATTGAGCAGGTGGGGGTTGGGGCAGGGGAGGCATTACATGGTGGGGGTGGGGGTGGGGCAGGGGAGGCATTACATGGTGGGAGTGGGGAAAAAAGCATTCCATGTTTGGGGTTTGTTTGTTTAATGTGTAATGCCGCACTCAGCAATCTACATGGTGAGGATGGTTGGGGCATTGGAGGAATCACATGGTGGATGGGGGATGGGGCAGGGGAGGCACTACATGGTGAGGTGGCGGTTGGGGCAGGGGAGGCACTACATGGTTAGGGTGGGGGTTGGGGCAGGGGAGGCACTACATGGTGAGGGTGGGGGTTGGGGCAGTGGAGGCATTACAAGGTGGGGTGGGGGTTGGGGCAGGGGAGGCATAACATGGTGAAGGTGGGGGTTGGGGCAGGGGAGGCACTACATGGTGAGGGTGGGGGTTGGGGCAGGGGAGGCACTACATGGTGAGGGTGGGGGTTGGGGCAGGGGAGGCATTGCATTGAGCAGGTGGGGGTTGGGGCAGGGGAGGCATTACATGGTGGGTGGGGGTTGGGGCAGGGGAGGCATTACATGGTGGGAGTGGGGAAAAAAGCATTCCATGTTTGGGGTTTGTTTGTTTAATGTGTAATGCCGCACTCAGCAATCTACATGGTGAGGATGGTTGGGGCATTGGAGGAATCACATGGTGGATGGGGGATGGGGCAGGGGAGGCACTACATGGTGAGGTGGGGGTTGGGGCAGGGGAGGCACTACATGGTTAGGGTGGGGGTTGGGGCAGGGGAGGCACTACATGGTGAGGGTGGGGGTTGGGGCAGTGGAGGCATTACATGGTGGGGTGGGGGTTGGGGCAAGGGAGGCATAACATGGTGAGGGTGGGGGTTGGGGCAGGGGAGGCACTACATGGTGAGGGTGGGGGTTGGGGCAGGGGAGGCACTACATGGTGAGGGTGGGGGTTGGGGCAGGGGAGGCATTGCATTGAGCAGGTGGGGGTTGGGGCAGGGGAGGCATTACATGGTGGGGGTGGGGGTGGGGCAGGGGACGCACTACATGGTGGGGGTGAGGGTTTGGGCAGGGGAGGCATTACATTGTGCAGGTGGGGGATGGGGCAGGGGAGGCATTACATGGTGGGGGTGGGGGTGGGGCAGGGGAGGCATTACATGGTGGGTGGGGGTTGGGGCAGGGGAGGCATTACATGGTGGGGGTGGGGGTTGGGGCAGGGGAGGCACTACATGGTGAGGGTGGGGGTTTGGGCAGGGTAGGCATTACATGATGGGGGTGGGGTTGGGGCAGGGGAGGCATTACATGGTGGGTGGGGGTTGGGGTAGGGGAGGCATTACATGGTGGGGTTGGGGGTTGGGGCAGGGGAGGCATTACATGGTGGGTGGGGGTTGGGGCAGGGGAGGCATTACATGGTGGGGTTGGGGGTTGGGGCAGGGGAGGCATTACATGGTGGGATGGGCTTGGGGCAGGGGAGGCATCACATGGTGGGGTTTGGGTTGGGGCAGGGGAGGCATAACATGGTGAGTCTGCACAGCGAATCGCGGCGTCTTAGACGACTGGGCCACCAGTGTCCCCAGTCAAACACTGACTTAAAGACAAACATTATACATGCATCCATGGTTCTCATTTGAGTTCCACATGGTGACAGGTCTGTGGGGATTTCGGATACAGAAATGGAGGCATGACGCAGTGGGGTGAGGATAAAGCTTATAAATATGTCCACATATATTATATCACCGATTAAAAAAGAATGGATTGGTTACCATCGTCGTGCAGCCCATAACTCGATTATCTACAGGTCACTGTGCTAACGATGAAACTAGGTTGAAGTGGTTTGGCTCTACTTACTGTATGTCTGCGTCTGCCAGATAGCATCACATAGACCCAAGCAGCCTGCGACGACGTAGAAGTTAGGAACGTCTCCTGGTTGTGGCTTCCACAACCACAGCACTATAAGTAGCCCGACGTTGAAGGTAGCACCGGCTGTGATGAAGAGGAACCTTTTGATGTGCTCGGCGATGTAACCAATCACCACAGAACCAACAGCACTGACTGCCCCGAAGCAGATAAGGATGGGGCCAATGTTGTGGACACCGAGTGTGCAGCTTACGTAGGACTGGCAACAGAAAGCAAGGAATCAGCATATGAGGCAAATACAGGTTCTATTAAAGACATTTGGGTTCGGATCCAGGATCAGTTCCGGTTATCCGGGGTTTGTATGCACCACAGTCGGTCTCATGGTTACCTCGAAGTGAAGCATCTACAACCGTGAGTGAGTGTGTGAGTGAGTGTGTGAGTGAGTGAGTGAGTGAGTGAGTGAGTGAGTGAGTGAGTGAGTGAGTGAGTGAGTGAGTGAGTGAGTGAGTGAGAGTGAGTGAGTGAGTGAGTGAGTTTTTTTTGTTTATCGCCGCACTCAGCAATATTCCAGCTATATGATCTGTAAATAATCGAGTCTGGACCAGACAATCCAGTGATTGACATCATGAGCATCGATCCACGCAATGTGGATACAATGACATGCACCAACCATGCCTTTTACGGCAAGAATGGGATGCTGAAGACCTATTCTACCCCGGATCTTCACGGGTCGAGTAAGTGAGTAAATGAGTGAGTGAGTGAGTTTTACGCTGCTGTGAATAGTATTCCAGTTACATCACGGCGTGTCAGCTTGATGCGGGCGGAAAGCCCCAGATGGTACATGTTTCAGACATTTACCACTTTGGTGAAACCAACGAGCACGAGCATGGTGATGACAAACCTAGATATATTATTCGGGCGAACCGTGGTTCGAACCCACGATCATAGGTTTCTGGCGTGCCCAAAAAGACGGGCTTCACTTTAGACTTTTCTCGCACGTTAAGCTGATACTCAGTGATATAGCTGAAATATTGCTCAACCCGAAGTTTAACTCATTCAAAAATATGTACAGCAGGCAGACTCCTGCAATAAGCTGAAATTAAAAATATACCAGTGGGAAAAAATGAAGGGACACGTAAAAAATATCAAAGATTATTATTCATATATGTAATCAGCAAAAATCTAAAATGAGTGAAACTTAGTGCTGACTATATGCCGAGCAATCTACATACATAATTCTATACCAAACACATGCTTCCTATTTATAGCCTTGTATCTTCATCAGCATACAATAAATTGTAATAAAAAGGGACAAAATATTTTCCATTATCATAACAAATTTATTGTATGATTCATATGTTTATAACTCACTATCAAATAGTGATGATACAATTGTTTGGAAACAGAGGGCGTATTCTGACCTCCGGTGGCACCCTTTACAAACGAAAAAAATACAAGTTGTGTTCAGCTAAACAAACACGGGAACACAGGGTACATCATTTTGGTCCCTGATGCGTCAAATTTGGAAATGTCCTCCACATGTCTACCATACAACCTTTTGAAAGTTTTACGAACGCCTTAAATAATGTGACCCTGTTAAACAAGTTGTGAGCCAGATTTTCGTTTGTTTTGTTTGTTTAACGCCGTGCTCAGCAATATTTCAGCTATATGATGGCGATCTGTAAATAATCGATTCTGAACCAGACAATCCAGTGATCGATATTGTGAGCAACTATCCACGCCGTCGGAATACGCCTCTTGGACCAGCAATGGTTGCCGGAGATGTTTTCTAATCTGGAACCCACACGGGAATATTGAGAATGTGAGTGAGTGAGTTGGGTTTAACCCCGCTTTTAACAGTATTCCAGTTATATCATGGCGTGTCAGCTTAATGTGGGAGGAAGCCCGGAGTTATGCAGGTCTCAGACGTTTACCACTTCGGTGAAACCAACGGTATGGTGCTGACAAACCTAGAAACATAATCGGGGCGAACCGGGATTTGAACCCACGATCATAGGTTTCTAGCGTGCCAAAGGGACGCAACTTAGACGACTGGGCCACCCGTGCCCCCATTTGAGAAAAAGTCGTATGACGGTCTTTTAAATCTTCGTAGAAAATCACACGCTCGATTGTACCTCAAAGGTTGTGAAATGTAGAACGCTGGAGCTTCTGGAATACAGCTCGAAACAAAGGGAAAGTCGACTATTCAAAACTTGAAGTGTGAAATGCATACGTATAAACATGACACAAATGTGGCGGTTTCATATTCCTATTTTCATTTCTAGTTCTGGAAAGAAAAATCAGCAAACAACCTCAGGTAATCTATACGACTGTGCTAATGTGTTTTAAACAAACAATAGGATCAGTGGAAATAATACCTTCTAATTAAGTCCTTAGATCCGAATACCAAATATAATATTCATAATTTTTGTTCTTCAGAATATCATCTTCCCTTCGTAAGTGTTGTTTCTATCTGTTTCTTGTTGTTTGTTTTTGTAGGTGTGCGTGCGTGCGTGCGTGCGTGCGTGCGTGCGTGCGTGCGTGCGTGCGTGCGTGTGTATCTGTGTGTGCGTGTACATGTGTGTGTCTGTGTGCACGTGTACATGCATGCATGTGTGTGTGTGTGTCTGTGTTTTGTGAGTTCCTTAATTTGAACAAGTTACAGTATTCAGTAACACACACACACACACACACACACACACACACACACACACACACACATATATATATATATATATATATATATATATATATGGTTCTACAGAGGAGAACCTCTAACATCAATAATATCAGTGGCCTTCTAGAAACAAAAAGAGACCTGAAAAGCAAATACACGTCAATCAACTGGATGTGGCCGATATTTGAAGGGTCACGATGACTTCATTGCACGGCCTGGGGCACGATGACTTCATTGCACGGCCAAGGACGGCTTTAAGTCAGTTGTTAGAAGTATCACGGGTGGAGAACCCCGACAGTGCCTGAGACCAGACAGAAATCTGTTGATCACATTCATGGAGTTAGGTTACATTACCTAAACAGACGTCTATGACGACGTGTAAACAAATCTGTCTTCCAACAATATAAATCGAACCTTCATTAACCCACATCAGCGGAGCTCCAAGGACCATTTCCTGGCCTTATCAGAAAGAACAATACTGTTTCAGATACTTCCTGTCTATATGTGTGTATGTCAGCATTATCAAAGTGTATCCAGCAGTGATATATCAATCACATTTATATATTCTTCTAAAGAATATTGATTTAGATTGCATCTTCACTTCGAAACTGCATGTTGTTGTAAGACGCACCCATTAATACTCCATCAGTGTCGTTCTGTAAATAATCTAGTTTGGGCCAAATAAGCCCCTGACAAAGATGGAGCGCCGTCCTACGACGTCGGTGTACGCAGCAACAAACAAAATATTTCTGGGGACCGTTTCAGATGTGCATCAGAAGAGTCTTGGCGTTTAATGCTTATCACGTCGAGAAATCAAAATGGGCTATACATTGTGGCCGGGTGAATCGAACACAGGCCATCGACATGACGAGCCACTTCATCTCCTAATTCAGAGGTTCAGCAATGGTAGTCCTTTCTAAAATACAATGCAGTGAAACAATGTTGAGTTTGTTTTGCAGCAGAATTCACTTTCAAACAGAAAGTCTTATGCTTCGATAGGATAGGATAGCGCTTCACCGACAGCTATCACCACAGATTTACAAGGGAATATGTAAAAGGCAGTGATGAAGAATATCAATTTAAATTGGAATGGCTGCAGATACAAACACAAGGAGAATTCGATCGAAATAAGGTCACTGATAGAATTCCCGAAGACAGTATCAATTACTTTTGATATGGCTTCGTCTTGGGTGCGTGTACTTTTTGACTGCTCTAGCTTTTTAAGAGAGAAATGTCAACGTGACATCGCTTTAATATACATCATATGCATCCGATTACATTGCATGTAGTGGAATCGTTACCGTTGCATGGAATGGATCTAAAACAACAGCTTAATTTTATGGCTACGTGCTTATATGCTACGTGCACGATCTGCACTATGAAACAACAAATTATTGCTGAAGGCCAGAATTTCTGTGTTGACCGTTCTGCGACCTGGATAAGAAAAGTTATATTTGGTAATAATTGGACCAATTCAGCATTTGGCACTCATTTTCATCCGGGAAACATGAACGTTGACGTTTTATTAGATGTCATTAGCATGTCAAATAAGATTTACAACTCACGAAATGGTAGAGACTACATGCAATGAGACCATATCAGAAGAACACCTATCTGGAGATACAATGTCCAATAGGAAGTCGATACCAGAAGCGCAAAACGACCGAAGTGTTAAAGATTATGTGGAATATATCAACAGTTTGGCCACAATAGACATATGTCAACGACCTTGACATAAAACGTCAATCCAATTCAGTGTGTCCATATCAGGGTTCCAACCGAAATGACAACGGTCATAATTACCCTGTCAATAATATGTCCATATTGGTTTTGTTTGTTTGTTTTGTTTGTTTGTTGTTTAATACCAGGCGCAGTAATATTCCAGCTTTATTGCGACGGTCTGTAAGTTATCGAGTCTTGACCAGACAATCCACTAACTGGCATCATGGGCATAAATATACGTAATTTGGATACGATGACGTGCATCAATTTAGTCAGCGATCCTGACCACACGATACCTTTAGTCACCTCATAGAACACGCATGGGTTGTGGGGACCTATATTCCTACACAGAATCCTGTCGGGTGCAACATTGCTATAAACCGCCACATTTAACTTCTCAAAAACACGTCCCTATCAGTCTTACAACAACCGAAATGGTAAAGCTTATATTAAATACGTGTATGTTAATACCATGTCCATATAGTATACACTCTTAAATAAAAGATATAGATGTTTAGTAAATTTATTTTACCTAATAAAATCGATATATTTAATTTAATATCATAGATACAAATATGAAATTTTGGAGCTCGATAGTCTCATGTTGTCGTTGTACAAAGGCATTGAAAACTCTTCATTGTCATGTCACATAAGGCCACAAGGTTGCGCTGAACTCAGTATCTCGTGTGACCGCCCGGGCAGCAATCACGGCTCTGCATCTCCTCGGCACTGACTGGATAAGTGTACGAATTCTGTCCTTCGGAATTCTGCGCCATTCTGCTTGTAATGCGTTGGCCAGTTGTAGGAGTGTCTGCGACATGTTCTGACGTTGACGTACACGTCGATCAGAGATCTTTGAT